GTGAAATACAGCATAAAGGACAAGGAAGGACACTATATGATGCTAAAAGTGTCAGTTGACCCAGAAGACATTCCCATAATAAATATCTATGCACCGAATGAAAGTGCTCCAAAATATGTGAAGCAAATATAAACTGAATTGAAAGGAAAAATAGACAACTCTACAATACTAGTAGGAGAATTTAACACAGCACTTTCAAGGAGGAACAGATCAACTAGAAAAAAACTTAATGAAGATACAGAAGAACTCAATAACACAATCAACAAACATGACCTCATAGACATATACAGAGTACTCCACCCAACAAAAAGCACAATTCACAGTCTTCTCCAGTGCACATGGATCCTTCTGCAGAATACATCATATGTTAGGACATAAAACAAGCCTCAATAAATTCAGAAATACTGAAATACTACAAAATATCTTCTCAGACCACAGTGTTATAAAGTTAGAAATCAGTAATAGGTAGATCAAGGAAAAAATAGCAAACATGTGGAAGCTGAATAATACATTGCTCAACAACTACTGGGTAACAGAGGAAACAACATGTGAAATAATAATAATAATAAAAAAAAACTCCTAGAAACAAATGAGAATGAAGATACATCTTACCAATACCTGTGGGACAAAGCAAAACCAGTACTCAGACGTGAATTTATAGCAATAAATGCACACATCAAAAAAGAGGAAAGAAACAAAATCAACACTCTAACTCAACAACTCCAACAATTAGAAAAAGAGAAACAAAAGAAACCTACAGTATCCAGAAGTAAGGAAACAATAAAGTTCAGAGCAGAAATAAATGAAACAGAAAACAAGCAAACAAAAAATGGAGAAAATCAATAAAACAAGAAGCTGGTTCTTCAAAAAGATTAACAAAATTGACAAACCAAAGGCAAATCTAACAACAAAAAAGAAAGAAAAGATGCAAATAACATGAATAATAAATGAAATGTGTGACATCACAATAGAAGCAACTGAAATAAAAAAGATAATGACAGAATATTG